GTTCATTATGATTTATTTATTTAACCAGATGAGTCAATTGGCCATTGGTATTTACAATGACGATCTGACCAAGAGGCAGCAAAAACAGGGACATGAGTAGCTTTACACCAAAGAACAAGATAAAAACAATTTCTCTCAAACATTGTTCACAAATCAGTCTAAATGTGTGATAGTGAGCACTTCTGCTTTGCTGAGATAATCCATCCCATGTCACAGGTGTGCCACATCAAGATGCTGACCCGACATCATGAGTAGGGCACAGGTATGCCTTATACTGCCCACAATAAAAGGCCACCCTGGAATGTGCAGTTTTGTCTCACAGCAAAATGCCACAGATGCCACAAGCATTGAGGGAGCGTGCAATTGGCATGCTGGCAGCAGGAATGTCAACCAGATCTGTTGCTCGTGCATTGAATGTTCATTTCTCCACCATAAGCTGTCTCCAAAGGCGTTTCAGAGAATATGGCAGTACATCCAACCGGCCTCACAACCGCAGACAACGTGTACCCACAACAGCCCAGGACCTCCACATCCAGCAGGTTTACCTCCAAGATCATCTGAGACCAGCCACTCAGACAGCTGCTGAAACAATTGGTTTGCATAACCAAACAATTTCTGGACAAACTGTCAGAAACCGTCTCGGGGAAGCTCAACTGCATGCTCGTCGTCCTCATCGGGGTCTTGACCTGACTCCAGCTCGTCGCCGTAACAAACTTGAGTGGGCAAATGCTCACATTCTATGGCGTCTGGCACGTTGGAGAGGTCAATCAATCAATTCAATCAATTGGACTTTATTGTCACTTCAGCCATATACGGTTTGTGCACAGTGAGGCGAAACAACGTTCCTCCAGGACCAAGGTGCTACATGCAACATAAATTTACAACATAAAATAACAGGGAAAACATTAAACTATCTAATTAAGGACAGAACAGACTGACCTAATATGACATGACCTCTCCCAGTAGGTAGTGCAAAGGAAAAAAAAACCTGAACATACTTAGTATGTAGGTGGTGAAGGAACAGTAAACATGCAAAAATAAAGCATTAACTGGTTAGTATTTAAGTCCAGCCTCCATGCTTTGAGGTAGTTGAGTTGAGCTTAGTGTGTGTGTGTGTGTGTGTGTGTGTGTGTGTGTGTGTGTGTGTGTGTGTGTGTGTGTGTGTGTGTGTGTGTGTGTGTGTGTGTGTGTGTGTGTGTGTGTGTGTGTGTGTGCGCGTGTGTGTGCGCGTGTGTGTGCGCGTGTGTGTGCGCGTGTGTGTGTGTGTGTGTGTGCGTTTATCAGTCCAGTCCCTTTTTGGTGGTCAGGATCAGTGGTGGAAGCTGGGCCTTTCTCAGTCTTCTCAGAAAGAAGAGACACTGTTGGGCTTTCTTGTGCAGGAAGCTGGTGTTGAGGGACCAGCTGAGGTCTTTGTCCAGGTGAACTCCCAGGAATTTGATGCTGTTGACAATCTCCACAGAGGAGCCGTTGATGCTCAGCGGTGAGTGGTCACCTCGTATCCTCCTAAAGTCAACAACCATCTCTTTTGTCTTGTCAACATTCAGAGACAGGTTGTTGTCCTTACTCCAGTTCGTTAGCCTCTGCACTTCCTCTCTGTACGCTGACTCGTCGTTCTTGCTAATGAGACCCACCACGGTTGTGTCATCAGCGAACTTAATGATATGATTTGAACTGTGTGTTGCTACACAGTCATGAGTCAGCAGTGTGAACAGCAGAGGACTGAGCACACAGCCTTGTGGGGCCCCCGTGCTTAGTGTGGTGGTGCAGTTCCTGATCTGTACTGACGGAGGCCTTCCAGTCAGAAAGTCCAGGATCCATTTGCAGAGGGAGGTGTTCAGGCCCAACATGCTCAGTTTTCCGATCAGTTGTTGGGGGATGATCGTGTTGAATGCTGAGCTGAAATCTATGTACAGCATCCGAACGTGTGTGTCCTTCTTGTCCAGGTGTGTGAGGGCAAGATGGAGTGCAGCGGAGATGGCATCATCCGTTGAGCGGTTATGGCGATGTAATGGAATCAAAGTGATGTAACTAACCAAAGTTGTATTTTAATACACTGTTAGTAGTTCACTTTTATAAACAGAAGAATAGGCTGTTTTTATCATCAGGGAGTTTAATTAAACACTCTGTATTGACTTTGAGACAATAAAAGAGAGAGAGATGGGATCGTTTGAGAATCTTTAATTTCTGAATTATAAATTCTAAACAATCTACCAGGACTACTCTGTGATGGATGAGAATGGATTCGGATGTTGTGTTGGTGCGTGTGTGTGTGTGTGTGGGTCTGGTTCAGATTCTCTAGGATGACGTAATCGAATCTGGTCGTCTTTGTTATGACTAGATATCACGAGGCTTATAAAGTGATGACATGAGCCGCTAATTTGCCGTGTACGTACCCAGTGGGGTCTCCCAAGTAGATCAGGAATTGCCAGGTCTGGAAACCTCGGATGTACGATGGCGCTGTCAGTGCAGCGGTCACAACGTTTCAAAACCCGTCTGGAGGGTCGGCCCGGTACGATTCAGCAGCGTCAGCAGTTGCTCTTATTTTGAAAGGACGTCGTCTGGTTGTTAAACGACGAAAATCTCCCGTTTCACAGTTCTTAGTTTAAAGAAAACGCATCCGGCCAGGCTGCGCTTGTCTTTAGGATGATGGTGAATAGAACTGAAGTCAAAATGGAACAGACTTAAAATGGCGTTGCCTTGTTTTATATCTCTGAATTGTTGATAAGTTTCAGTAAAGTAGATTGGACACTTGAAGTCAACACCAGATTCTCCTGCGGCAGCCGAAAGCTCTGATTGGTTGGAACAATGTGTCATGCGTTTCTATGGAGATGAGGATCAGTATGTCTGCACCGTAGTCCTGGTTTCATTAAACATAATTCATGACATATTTATTTCACAGATCATTCACTTGATTATTGTTGATAAACATCTGTTTTGCTTAATAATTTTAATCACAAATAAAGTACTTTGATTAAGTAAAGCTTCTTCTTCTCCTTCGGACTCTTCTCCTGGAATGTAAACAGTCTGAGGAACAACCGACCTTGGTTTTTCTACACGGTGTTATTGTGCCCAGGGGCCAGCTGTATGGAGTTGAAAACCATGAACTTCATAACCTTACAGCGATATGCAAATTGCAGTGGGTCCAGTGAGGGGGGCAGCTGGGTCTTGATGTGTGTCATGACAAGCCGCTCAAAGCACTTCATGATGGTAGGTGTAAATGCAACAGGACGGTAGTCGTTGAGACAGGACACAGAAGACTTCTTGGGCACGGGGACGATGGTGGTGGCCTTGAAGCACGTGGGAACAACGGCACTGCTCAGAGAGATGTTGAAGATGTCGGTGAGAACGTCTGCCAGCTGTTCAGCACATTCCTTTAGCACTCTTCCCGGGATGTTGTCTGGACCAGCAGCTTTACGTGGATTGACTCTGCGTAGAGTTTTCCTCACCTCCGCTGTAGTGAGACACAACACCTGGTCGTTCGGAGGAGGGATGGACTTCCTTGCCGCTACGTCGTTCTGCCTGTCGAACTGAGCGTATAAGTTGTTCAGCGCATCAGGGAGGGAGCCGTCACCATCACAGGCAGGTGTTGTCGTCCTGTAGTTGATGATGGCTTATAGGCCCTGCCACATTCGCCGTGTGTCGCCGCTGTCCATGAAGTGGTTGTGGATCCTCTGGGCGTGTGCGCGCTTCGCCTCTCTAATTGCCCGAGATAGTTTGGCTCTAGCTCTGCTAAGCGCCACCTTATCTCCCGCTTTGAAAGCAGAGTCTCTGGTTCTCAGAAGTGCACGCACTTCCGCAGTAATCCACGGTTTCTGATTAGGTCGTGAGATGATGGTCTTGGAGACAGTGACGTCATCGGTGCATTTGTTGATGTAGCTCGACACCGATGACGTGTACTTCTCCAAGTCAGTAAAGTTGCCGTAAGTTGCAGCCTCCTTAAACACGTTCCAGTCAGTACTCTCAAAACAGTCTTGAAGAGCAGAGGTGGCTCCTGCTGGCCAGGTTTTCACCTGCTTCAGAACCGGTTTTGATCGCTTGACAAGTGGTCTGTATGCTGGAATTAGCATAACAGAGATGTAGTCTGAGTAGCCAAGGTGGGGGCGGGGCTCTGCCCGATATACGCCGGGGATATTTGTGTAAACAAAATCCAGCGTGTTTACCCCTCTCGTTGCAAAGTCCACATACTGATGGAATCTAGGAAGCACTGACTTGAGATTTGCATGGTTGAAATCTCCAGCAACAATGAACAATCCATCCAGGTGTGTGTTTTGCAGTTCGCTGATGTTTGTGTACAGTTCTCCTAATGCTTCCTTAGCATTAGCGCTAGGTGGAATGTACACTCCGATAATGAAAACAGTGGTGAATTCCCGTGGTAAATAAAATGGTATGCATCTAACAGTCACAAACTCCACCAGCGGTGAGCAATAGCTAGAAGCTAGCAGAGCGTTCTTGCACCATTTTCCGTTGATGTAAATACACAGGCCGCCACCGCGAGTCTTACCGCACAGAGCTGCGTTTCTGTCAGCAGGAAACGAGACCAGCCCGTTCAGCTGAATAGCGACATCCGGTACTCTGTCGCTGAGCCATGTCTCTGTGAAAATAAAGACACAGCAGTCTCTGACCGCACGCTGTGTAGCCTGCTAGAGTCGGATGTAGTCCAGTTTATTATCCAGGGAGCAGAAGTTGGACAAGATGATGGACGGGAGAGCCGGCCGGCTAGGGTTTGTTTTTAGCCTATAACAGATTCCCGCCCGCTTGCCGCGCTTCCGCTTCCTCGCGCATCGCTTCCGATGTCCCCTCCTCCGGCCGCCAGCATCAGGCAGCGACAAGGCCTGGTTTCCCGCAGCCCCTCTTGGATATCGTTGACCGGGTTTTTAAGGTAGCAAAGTGTCTGCCTGCTATATGTACAGACACCAGTTCCGACGATATCCATACATGGAGTAAAAAAAAAAACACAATACACAAAACGTAAACAACGTCGCACCATTTGGGTCCGGAGTGGCCGCTGCGTGCTACTGCCGCGCCGCCATGCTGACCAATCGATGTGTTCTCTTCACGGATGAATCTTGGATTACATTGTTCAGGGCAGATGGCAGACAGCGTGTGTGGTGTCGTGTGGGTGAGCGCTTTGCTGATGTCAATGTTGTGGATCGAGTGGCCCATGGTGGTGGTGGTGGGGCTATGGTATGGGCAGGCATCTGTTATGGACGAAGAACACAGGTGCATTTTATTGATGGCATTTTGAATGCACAGAGATACCGTGATGAGATCCTGAGGCCCATTGTTGTGCCGTACATCCATGAACATCACCTCATGTTTCAGCAAGATAATGCACGGCCCCATGTTGCAAGGATCTGGACACAATTCTTGGAAGTTGAAAATGTCCCAGTTCTTGCATGGCCAGCATGCTCACCGGACATGTCACCTGTTGAGCATGTTTGGGATATGCTTGACCGGCGTATACGACAGCGTGTACCAGTTCCCACTAATATCCAACAACTTCGCACAGCCATTGAAGAGGAGTGGGCCAACATTCCACAGGCCACAATTGACAATCTGATAAACTTTATGTGAAGAAGATGTGTTGCACTGCATGAGGTAAATGGTGGTCACACCAGATACTGACCAGTTCTGAGTCCCCAGACCCCCAATAAAGCAAAAAACTGCACATTCCAGGGTGGCCTTTTATTGTGGGCTGTATAAGGTACACCTGTGTACTACTCATGATGTCAGATCAGCATCTTGATGTGGCAGACCTGTGAGGTAGGATGGATTATCTCAGCAAAGCACAGGTGCTCACTGTCACACATTTAGACTGATTTGTGAACAATGTTTGAGACAAATGGTAATATTGTGTATCTGGAATGAATTTTAGATCTTTAAGTCCATCTCATGAAAAATCGGAGCAGAAACAAAGGTGTAGTGTTTATATTTTTGTTGAGTGTACAGTGACTTGACTCATAACAAGTATTGCACAGAAAAGTTCCTTTTTACCTTGTTGGCAGTTTCATTTGCCGACTGCAAAACTTCCTCAGAGCTGACGCTGATGGTGGCGTCACTTCCTTTTCCGTTTATCCACGGGCAGCAGAGGATATTGTCGCTCTCTGCTGCCCGCTCTTCCCTCACTGATGATGCACCCGTGGATAAATGGAGGATGTGATGCCACCATCAGCGTCAGCTCTGAGGAAGTTATGCAGTTGGCAAACGAAACTGTCAGCAAGGTAAAAAAAAAAAAAAAACCTTTTCTGTGTTTTGAAAAAGAACCAAAAATGGAATTAGAAACTAGACACAGCAAGAGCATGCCAAAGAAGTATTGCATAGGTAAAGGAAACAATGCACAGTTAAGGGTCACAGTACGACATAATACTGTGCATGGTGATTGTAGCAACACAGAGAGCAACAGGGGGAGTTGAGAAGAGATGTCAAAGTGAAGACCTGAAACACCACAAAGGCTCAACAATAGCCAGGTGTGATGAAAGAGAAGATGTAATACCAGAAACACTGAAACAAGTAGACTTTGCTTTAACACAGAAAAGTAATCAAACAACTAACAGTCTGATAACGTTCATTAAACAAATACTATGTTTTTACTCTGCAGAGATGTGTTTGCTCAAGGTTTACCAGATGAATACGCATTTGTAACGACATTCAAGTTCAGAAAATCATCAAGACGAGAAGATTGGTACCTCTGGCAAATTTTTGACAAATATGGAATTCCACAGGTAAGACAGTAATACATAAAACGTCTCCTTGCTACGGCATGTGTCAGATTAAAGCTCACAGTGAGCCAAGCTCAAATGTGTGGAAACATGTTTCATCTTCTCTCACTGACAATACCCTACCTCTGACTCGTCAGGTGTCCATTCGTCTGGATGGTGAAAACAAGGCGGTTGAGTACAACGCCGTTGGGCTGACAAAAGATGCTGTCAGAGCAGTGTTCAAGAATCCTGAAGTTGACAACTTGTTTGACCGCAACTGGCACAAGATTGCCCTTAGCGTGGAGGCCAAGTCTGTCTCTCTATACCTGGACTGCAAACACATCCAGACTCTGAAAATTGAAGACCGGGAGGATATTGATATACAAGGGAAGACAGTAATTGGGAAGAGGCTGTACGACAGTGTGCCAATTGATGTCCGTCTCTTTCTTCACCCTTAACGGATTTTCTTCATATAAGCTCAAGTGCCTGAGCAGTGATTGTCCTTTCTGCTCTTGGTTGTCTTTTCTCATACAGTTTGACCTCCAGAGGATGAAGATTTATTGCGATTCCAAGCATGCAGAGCTCGAAACCTGTTGCGATCTCCCCACTGGGCCTGTAAGTATGACTGTAGACCTACAGCTTTATGTCAAAGGTGAAACTGTAATTCAGATACAATAACACATTTACTTTGCCCTTGCAACTCAACGCAAAGCAAGGCATTTTGTTTTAGGAGTATAATAACAATTGTCTCAGTATTGGGATCACTGCTTTATATCAGCAAGACGGAGAGAGGGAAAGGCCAAGGATTACCACGGATGAAGACTGTGCCCCTGAGATAGTCCAGCACATAAAAGCAGGATGTAATTTGCAGACAGCCAAAGTGTAACTTAACAGCTGGAATACTGTACACAAACATCTGTGTCAAGTATGAACTAAGGCTCCACAGTCACAGTGGGAGGCTTTACCATGAGTGGTAGAGAAGGACCATTCTGAGATACTGATACAGAATGACAAGCAGGTAATGACCAACCAACTTAACATGGAAGTGGTTAACAAAGGCAAGGCATTGGTGATGGAAGAGGGAGCATGAGAACCTAAAGAAATACCAAATTTAAGAGAGGAAATAGAGAAGTTGTGGAAAGATTCAGGACTTTGACACCTTTAAACTGGTGGAAGAGCTCTCATAGATCCCAGGAACAATCGCTGAGATCTTTATTCAAAAGGCCCAGTTCACAGGGCAGGAGATTTACATTGTTGTCAGAAGCCATATTCAACAGGGACCATGCTTGTGTGTCCTTGAAAATCGGACCAAGATAATCCAACACATTTGACAGCCTGCACGTTCCTGTGGTGCTTCTGAGTAGATCAGAGCACACTTTAGGCTACAATCCATTTCCCCCTTTCAGGAGCTATTTTACCCTACAGACCATACATGGTAAATGGTAAATGGTAAATGGCCTGCATTTGATATAGCGCCTTCTAGAGTCCTGGAACCCCCAAAGGCACTTTACAACACAATCAGTCATTCACCCATTCACACACACATTCACACACTGGTGGGAATGAGCTACGATGTAGCCACAGCTGCCCTGGGGCGCACTGACAGAGGTGAGGCTGCCGAGCACAGACGCCACCGGTCCCTCCGACCACCACCAGCAGGCAATGTGGGTTAAGTGTCTTGCCCAAGGACACAACGACAGCGACAGACTGAGCGGGGCTCAAACCTGCAACCTTCCGATTATGGGGCGAGCACTCAACTCCTGTGCCACCGTCGCTATAACGAATACATAACGAAAGCAAAGGGATTTTGCAGACCTTGCCATGCTCAGTTGTAGCCTCAGCAGGTCTGCCATTGGCCTGAGCAGTTTTGTGTCTGGCCAATCCCAGCTCTTTATCGGTTTGGTGGGCGTGATTAGCACCAGAGTTACAACAGAGCAAAACAACAAAGATGGCGATCGCTCATTTAAACAGCTTTGGCATCAGCTTTGGACTATTTAAACTTGGGCTTTTTGGTCGACCGCTAAATCGAGAGCGTTGCCTTCCGGCTCAGCTCTCTCTTCACCACAACAGATCGGTACGATACCCACATCACTGCAGATGCCGCACCAGTTGATCTCGCGCTCCTTCTTTCCCTCAATCCTGAACAAGACCCTGAGATATGTAAACTCCTCCACTTGTGGTAGGACCTCCTTCTTGACCGTGAGAAGGCATTCTAACCTTTTCCGACTCAAGACCATGGTCTCGGATTTAGAGGAGCTGATTCTCATCCCAGCTGCGAACCGCTCCAGTGAGAGCTGGACATCAAAGTCTGATGGAGCCAACAGGACAACATCATCTGCAAAAAGCAGAGAGTCAATCCTTAGGCCACCAAAGCGGATCCCCTCAACACCTTGGCTGTGCCTAGAAATCTTGTCCAAAAAGTTGTGAACAGAATCAATGATGTCTGATAACAGCAATCGGATAATCCTCAAGGTTTTTGAAATGGGAGATTCAGGTCAAAAATTGCACGATCATCCTGCTGTCTGAACCAGACATCACATATTTAAAAAATAACAGCACATATTTCAAGGCCTCTGGTAGAGGATGCGTAATAGAACAGAAATTATGTGTAATTTATAACTATTCTGGGACATGCATTTATGCAACCCTTTTCTGGTCTCATTGACCTCTCAAAGTGCTCTACAGTATGAGTCACGTTCACCTGCTCCCACACCCATTCATACCTTTGCAGACAGGGGTCATAGGCTACATGGGTGCCCAGGAACACTTCAACATGTTGTGGTGAAGCTAGTACTGGAATAGTCAACACATTCTCACACCCAAAGCGTAGAAAAATGACGCGTGTGACCAAGCGCCAAAATATGAAGATCAGTGTGCCCCAGCGCGTCGGGAGAGGACGCGCCGGGACACGTGTCACTGTGGGTGTCAGTATCAGACGCCCGCGGTGACACGGAAATTATTCCTCGAACCTCTAGCGATTTAACCTTCCCCTCACCCCCATCCTAACCTTAACTCAGTGATTTTCAATTAAGCTTTGCATGCACAAACCGGTTGAGGTTAGAACGGGGGTGAGGGGAAGGTTAAGTAGTTCACAAGTTGGTCAAATGTCCGTCTCACCGCGGGCATCGGATACCAACGCTCTGTCCCTGCGCATCCTCTCTCGACACGCTGGGGCACCCTGATCGTCATATTTTGACGCTTGGTCACGCATCATTTTTTGATGCTTTGGGTGTGAGAATGTGTTGAAATACAAACCATTTAAAGGTAATCACGTCTCCCACTCAGCCGCAGTCACTCAGATTTGTTTTACACAACTTTATAATTACTTCTATACCTTCTAATCATCTTACTATAGGATAGTAGTGTGACTATATGCTGCGTGTGTGAGAGATATTATCAACTGCAGTGGCCAGATGTAAGGAATGTAACATCCATGACTGTAACTCTGTTTTTTCTTCTGAACTCTATAATTTCAGTGTCCTAAGAAAGTTGTGACAGAGGCTCCACCGATAGAGATTCTCACTCCAACGCCAACCGTTGCAGAGCAAAAACTCCACCCTGAAGCAAACTGCTCCTGCCCTGCAGGGCAGAAGGTAATGCCATTTCACACTTTATTCCTGCTTATTGTTTCCATGGCTGAGAGGGAATCCACACTTGAATCGCTTTCAGAAGACGATTACATATTTGTTTCACACAGGGAGACATCGGTGCACCTGGCTCTGCCGGTCTAAAGGGTGAAAAGGTCATCCACGTTCCAATATCGTAACTTGTGTGTGAGACAAGTTTGTGTTTCAGTGTCACAAAGTGTGTTCTGCTTTTTTATTCTTTGTGTATGCCTACCTTCTCAGGGTGAGACTGGCCCTAAAGGTGCCACTGGATCTCAAGGCGTAAAAGGGGAAAAAGGAGAAAGTGTATGAAAACTCAGTGTTCATTTTTCAGAAAGAAACAAAAACAAACAAATGTAAACTGTGTTTAATCCCAACATTGTTGCCATTAAAGCTATTTGAAAAATATAATATTAAGCAATCTTACATCATTTCAAACTGCATGCTATCTCCATCCGCCCTTTCTCTGCCTCGATAATAATTGATCTTTACTGATTAATTATTTGCAGGGCAACATAAACTCTGTCAAAGGTGACAGAGGTGAGAAGGTAAGTAAACAGTCTCTCAGGTTTACTTTGCATGTGCATCATAACCCAAATACATGTTTGTCTGCATATTATAAACATACTATAAGCATGTAGACCAAATGTGATCACCTGCTTGCACGATTATTAACGTTTACCCAATTTTGTCTTTTAACATCTACTTTATGGGTTTTTTACTCCATATTTTTACAATGAATGTAGCTAAATTATAATTTCAAAACATTATTTTTCCAATATGAATCTTCGTGCTACCCACCACCACCAATCAGGAGCATCAACCCAGCAAAACCGTCCATGACACGATATCTCAGTCCAAAATGATGTCTCTGGCTCCTTCAAAGGCAGTTTGAAATCTGGGTGTTGTGAGTGATGACCAGCTGACCTTTAACGATCACGTTGCCTCAGTTCCTCATTCATGCCGTTTCGCGCGGCATAACATACAAAAGACCAGACCTAACACAACATGCCACCCAGCTCCTGGTGCAATCTACAGTCACCTCTTCCAGGCTGTACTGTGAGACCTCTTCAAATGGTCCAAAATGCAGCAGCGCGTCTGGTCTTCAATCGGCCTAAAGAGCACACGTCACCCCTCTGTTCACTGGACTCCTTTGGCTACCGCTAGCTGCATGCATCAAATTCCAATCACTAGCAAACAAAGTCCTGGATGGTACGGCTCCCATCTACCTGAATCCTCTTGCAAAGGCTTAGGTCACGGCCCGGCCGCTCGGTCGTTGAAGGTTCGTCGGCTAGCAGGGCCTACACCACGCTCAGGACAATCCAGACTCTTTTCATGTATCGTTCCACCGATGTGGAATTACCTACCAAGCACTACTGGAGCCGGGGCTTCCTGTCTGTCGATTTCAAAGAAACTCCTAATGACCCAGCTCTTCAGGGAGCATCTTCTAAACTAGCACCCCCCCAGCACCCGTCCCCCAGTCTACTGCACGCTCCAAGTTCGCTTCCCTCCATGACTGATTATGCCGCCTCACTGCCACCTAGAAATGACTGAATAGTGTTTGTTGTTAGCCTTAAGGGCAACCTGATGGCTTGATTATCACCTGTAAGTTGCTTTGGACAAAAGCGCCTGCTAAATATATAAACATGAACATGAACATCAAACTCTGATATCAGACACCTGGATATGCATCATTTACACTGTCCTGAGCTCTCTTCTCATTATCATGTCATGGACAGCCCTTACAACGGGGACAGTCACAACTTAGCTGCTCTAACACAAGTGCATTAAATGTAGATTTAATGTGGAGCGTCTTTATTGTTCTTTTTTACCTGCTTCTGGATTTCTCCTCACTTTTTCCATGAGACAAATTACAAGTTGTGAACTTTTCTAAGTCTGAAGCTAACACATGATGTAAGACGACTCCGAGCTGCAGTTTGTAATTTGTGGTGTTCTGTTTACACGAGGTAAACGTCAAAAATGCAGCTTTTAGCCCTTCTAACTTCCCGATTAACCAACCAAAGCTGAAAATTAGATGTTTAACAATATTTTTGCAGGTTTCTCTGCTTACAGCTGAGCACAGGCCAGTCGCAGTGATTAAGAAGCTGCTGCATGTTGACATAAGCCTGAAATAATGACAGGCTAACTTTCTGTGACTTGTAAAGTGTTTGACAAGGCAGAGGGAAGTGGTACTGTGGTCAAGACGTCAGTGAACCGTGTAATTTAGCAGCCGTTAACTCTCACCGAGTGCAGCTTTTACATTCCACTGGGTTCTTTGGCACAGAAGGTGACATCAGAGTACAATCCAAGAATGGACTGGTTTGAGTACAATGGAGGAGCCATTGTTCCTTGAGTTTTTGGTCGCATGTGCAACCAGACCATCATGGGTCTTGGTGGAGCTTTCAGCACATTTTGGTTCCCCGGCCTTTACTGAAAAGTGTTTTGTTTGTCTTGATGTGACCCGAGAAGTTACACCGAGACACTTGGACTGTTATCTGTGTGTGTGTGTGTGTGTACCTTTTTCTGTTTAATCAAATGTGTCTTTTGACTTCTAACATTTGTCTACCTAACAGTTGTCTCTGGTGCTACCAGGTTGACTTTCTACCAGCACGCCTTCTGCACTTGCATGTTTGGGACTGAGAGAGCAGTCCATTTAAACACATATTTTCTATTTACAGGGTGATAGAGGCATTTTAGGCTTGACAGGTGCTCCTGGACAAAAAGGAGAGAAGGTCTGAACCCGAAGCACCGGAGGATTTCCCACTGGTTTATTTTATGTCCTGTAAAGTCGTGTTCTGGTCCTGATTATGTGATTCCAACTGTTTGACAGGGCCTTGGTGGTGTACCTGGCATTGATGGTTTAACTGGAGACAAAGGAGACAAAGTAAAGAACACAGCAGATACAAGTAACTATCAGGCTGAAGGAAATCTGTGAAAGTTACGTGTGCACGTTTTTGTATTTAGGGTGAAGCAGGCAAGCCTGGCGTCCAAGGGTTTCCAGGCCCAGCAGGACAAAAGGTGGGTATTAAATGTGTTCTGATTTTCTTTTAAAGAACAGATTCAATGAGAAAACATTTTCTATTCATTAATTTTTTAAATGATCAGTCAGTTGAACATGCAGGCCGAACGCCAAAATGGTCTTCCCCTTCTACTTCCTGTATTGGCTTTTGATGGACAATAGATGGAAAAAACACACGGATTAGAAAAGCTGGACGGATCTACATCACACTTGTGAAGGCTGTTGTAGTTTCAGCGTCCGGGAAACAGCAGAGAACAGCTTTAGTGTCAGAAGCTAACTGTTACCATTAGCAACTGCACAACATGGCAGAACTCCTCCAGGCTTGTTGTTTGTGGAGACGAAACGTCAGCGTTGCAGAGCAAACAGTCGGTGGTAGGCTGCTGACGTCGAACAACCTGCGGTCAGAATGGAAAGCAGCTGAACCTCAAATGAATTATTCATGTCAAACAAGCGGCATTGAAGGAATAACCTACAGTCTGAAGGTTCTGGACAGAGACGTGAGCTCTGATCTCTCCAGGAAGTGTTGTCAAAAATCCTTTTTTAAGAACTGAGCAAATCCGTCTTGCCACGAGGAAAAATGGTAAACCACTGAAACTGGGCTGTCGTGCAGCTGTTAAGAGTCAAAGATGGAACCGTGTGGAATAAATTCAGAAGACAAACTTTTCAGGTTGTAATTGTAAATAGTTTTTTAATCTGAGAGTACCACAGCTTCCATTTGTCACCAGCTCTTGTGACAACCTTTATTCATAGAATTTCTCGTTGTTGGGTTTTCTGGCTGCAGGCTGTTTCTATTTGCAGGTGATGCCACCCGTTAGCCAGGGTTCCAATTACTGGGGAGCTGAGGGGGAGCTGAGGGGAGCTGGAAGGCCTTAACTGACACACAGAGGGGGAGCCTCAAAAATGATCCAGTTTCAACTTATATAACATTATTTAAAACGGACACTCAGTGGGACTTACTTTGAGCGTTCCGTGTAAACCGTCACCCCCCCATCCCCCATCCCCCGTTCTTACGGAGTGATTTTATGGAGGTGATGGTACAGATGCTCCCCATCACAAGGGCTTAGGAAATAAAGGGAGTCGGACCACTGTTCCTTCACATCCAGCTAGCTGAGATGTTGTTTTATGTTCTTCTGGAAGGAGACCCTAGGGTCTTCCCTAAACAAGCTGGGAAAGCTATATCTCTGGAATGGCCAGGAATGGCTCGGGATCAGAGAAGCTGGTGGAAGAGACTGGGAGGGGACAGTCTGGATTTCCTTGCTAGGGAAGAAAAACAGATGACGAGACAAGATTTTAGTTGGGAGCAGCTGAAAGAAACCAATTCAACACATAATGTTGGTCTGATGACATTTCTTATAGCTACTAATGTTTCTCCTTTTGTTGTATTCCAGGGGGATCCAAGGGGATGCAGGGATTCCTGGTGCACCTGGACCAAATGGGTTACAGTGAGTTACATTTAACATCATCAGTTACAGTCTCATGGAACTGTTCATTAAAACAACAACATTTAAATGTTTTGTGACAGGGTGATTCTGGTGTAAAAGGTGAAAAAGGAACACCAGGAGCTCAAGTAAGTTTCACGGCTTTAGTTAGACAAGTAAATGTAACGTATGGCACGTTTCGTGGTACTACAAATCTCCACCTTCACAATCCAGCTGTTTCCAACATCTTGATGATCGTTGTAGCCTTTGACAGACCGGAGAGTTCACTTCTGAGAAGAGGAAGTCACTCTTGTCAAAGGAACTGGGAACTGAGGGGGCGTGATTGTGCTAACAGATGTTGCTACATGATTCAGTGTCCCATACTTCTTGTCCTGGATTACTGGCAGGGGCATGTGAAGCTCTGCTGGTGTGTGAGGCTTTTTTCTGCTAGTGCTTTATTGTCGTGGTCACATGTACTATCAGTTAGCAAATCAGACGTTTAAAGAAAAACAAAAGAAGCTCCAGTAACAGATGTTTAGCTGTTCAGCTCGTAGCAAGTTCAAACTTTAGCAGGTGAGTGTGTAAAACACTACGCTCAGGATTAGTACGTGGATCACTTTGCCACATGGCAAGAGCGTGTGTAGCCGGTGCCGTTGCCAGATCAGGAGCTGGTTGTCAGCAAGACGGTCAGTCAGGTGCAATTTCCTGTAGGCGCGCCTCCTGGAGAAGTACTCAGCTCTGTAGAGTGATGAAGGGAGAAGGGGGAAGTTTTGACGAGACTCTTGGGCTGATGTTTATCCAGTACTTAACCGAGTCAGGAAAGTATTTTGGGTTACAACGTACGATCCACCATTTAAGGAGATCCTGTTTCATTAGACAGACTCTGCGGTGGTGCTAGCGGTCACTTGGCCCACCGCTATGGTCACTAGACATCTGAACATTCCTCGGGCCGTCCCTTCCAACACCTCTCTCTCTCTCTCTCTCTCTCTCTCTCTGTCTCTCTCTCTATCTCTCTCTCTCTCTCTCTCTCTCTCTCTCTGTCTCTCTCTCTATCTCTCTCTCTCTCTCTGTCTCTCTCTCTCTCTCTCTCTGTCTCTCTCTCTCTG